AAGACAGTGTGACCATGTTTTCGTGAATTTTGGGGCACACGATGCAAAGGCAACGAATAATTGTTTATCGGTTGATCTTCGAAGGTTCGCCACCCTTGTTGCAGTATTCGTTCTGACGCAAGCTCTCCGGTAGCCTTTCTCCGGCTGCTCGAGGAGCGTTTCTTGCCCGCGTTCTAGTCTCCCGGCTCTCGAGGCGAATTTGGTCGTTAAATCGCGCCGCGGAATTCGCGCGAACGGGTAGTTAAAGTTCGAAACGAGCGAAAAACCGCGGAGTGCGTTTCGAGGCCGACGCCGTGGAGCAATTACAATTGCAAATCTTGCGCCGTTGTTGCCCCCGGTTGTCGCGTTTCTTCGGCGTCATGAAAGTTTCCGGAGCGGAATCCGCCCCGGCTGTTTTTTTGCGACGCGTTTCTCCCCTCCCCCTCTCTCACTTCGAAACGCGCGTCTCGTCGAGGAGGGGGGCAGGGGGGGGGGGGTTGGGCCGCGGGAGTTTGGCAAAATCGTTTAGCATAATTTGAGCGTCGACGATCGGGGACGCCTTTCGTCGCTCGAGCCCTCCTCGATAAAAATGACTTGTTTTGCCCCGTGCTTAACTTCCTCGTTAGCCGGCGGTGACATCTTGGCGGGGCGAGAGTCTCGCGGGACCCTCTTGTTTTCGAAAAAATTCCACCGACCAAATCGAAATTCTGACGATTTTTATCGCGGTACCAACGAGGATGGATGGCTAGCTTTATGTACTTACACAGGATTTTTACGTGTTCTATTTGATCTTGTTCTTAAGTAAAAGCGAGTTTCTCCTTGAAGACGTCTATTTACCTTCAGTGCAATGGGTGTTCAAAATTACCTATTTGCATCAGAACGTAAACCTGGAGACGTTTTACCATTGGCTGCCTTACCCTCTCTGTTCCTCAAGTTATTATTTGTAATAACAAGTCCATGCTCAAGGATCATATCTGCCATTTATTTCAATAATCAGACAGTACTCTGATGTTTAGAGAACGTATTCACAGATTCAATGTTAGATACTAGGCTAATGGAATTCAACTATTCTTATCTTTAGAGAGAATTATTAGTATAGAAAATAGTTACATAACAAAGATAAAAATTGAATGTTACGAAGTACGAGACTGACTAATTACGGTATAATTACGGAGATGTCAAGTGAAGAACGTTTAAATGATAGAATGGAATGGTTAATAACATCAATCATATGCAGTATGCGCGCGGACGAACAATAAATTGTTCGCGTTAAAGAGATCGGGAAGGAAGAGACGGCTGTAGGATAACGCGGCTCGTAAAGAGAGCACCGTGGACGTAGGAGTCGTTGCGATTCTAATTAGAAGGAATTCCATCGTTTCGTGGGAGGAGGGAGCGAATTAAGCTAATCGGCCGCGACGAACGAACGAGGGTCCCTCGCCACGGCTGGAAACGCGGAAACCGGGCCCGGACGAGGAAGTAAACGAGAAAAATTTGCTTTGGCGTGAGACAGAGAGGGTGGGGGGGGGGGGCGGAGGGGGCAAAGGAAAACGAACCCTCGAGAGCCGAGGAAAAAGTCGAGAGCATGAAATTAGTCGTACTCGCGGCGCTGAGGGCATTAGAAGCGCCCCGGGGGCCACGGTCTCGTTTTATTCGATAATTATGCAAATGCCGGAATGATTGTCGGGCAATATGTCCTTGGAATAAAAAGTCGACCCGTGGAGCAATTCGGTTATCTTTATGATTCGGGGAGGAACGAAAGGGCCAACGAAAGACGCCCGCGAGGAGAGGCTTCATTTGCATCGAAACGCGAGTTCTGCCTCTCCCTCCCCGGTTTTAATCGCGACGATCCTCCCGCTCTCCACCGACCAAAGACGAAACTTCACCTCCCCCTCGGTTCGTACGCTCGTCGTCGAGGATTCCCAGAGTCCACGATCGTCGCGAGATCTACGACGACCGTAGATCCACGGCGAGCCTATTAAGACGTTCGCTGGCCGATTTAATTAAGCGGCTACAACTCTCTCGAACCTGCCCGTATCGTCGTTATTTATTATTAAAATATATTCCCTGACGAAAGGGTGGAGCCTGGCTCGGCCAATGGGCTGGCGTCGCGTGCCGCGAGTCGTTAGGACGGCTGGAAATTGATAAGAATGCATCGTCGCAGGGTTACCGACGCCGGCGCGGCCTCTAATCTGGACGTTGCGGGGCCGCGCTCCTTCACCGACGGGGAACGAATCTATCGGACCCGGGTCCCGGTAATTCCCCGACGAGAACGCCTACCCCGGGAGCCCCACGCTTTTCCCCGTAACGCGAGAATTCACTTACGAAAGACCCACGGCCGTTCCCTGCGCCCAGACCACCGATTCTTGCCAAAGGAAACCAGATTAGAATCAATTTTTTAAAAAATATTTTGCTTCAACCGTCGCGCAGGCACTAAAATGTCCGCCCTCGGAGAACCGGGGCCACCAGGCGCCCCACTATCTATACTATATATAGTTATCTAGATACAAGCTCTTATATAAAAAAAAAAAATGTAGTTTGAATCGTAGTATATGTACAGTGAAGAAATCCTCAGTATCCTCGGAACATAAACACGTACTACGGGGCGACCATCTTGTTCATAAATAAATATGCACGCGAAGCGTGTGGGCTCGTACAACCTGTCGCTTAACGCGATCGCATTGAATGGCAGTCCTGCCATACTTACCATAGAATGTATCGTTATGATTATGGCCTTACCCTATAAAATCCAGCACAATGCGTATTCGCGGAACGACAAGTTCGGAACGTACGAGGCTGTTCCCAGCGGTGCGTCCTCGAAATCGAAGCGTGGGCGTGAAATGTCTTCCTCTTCTTACACGATCAATTGAATATTCTCGCGACCAAAACCAGAGCAGATATCGCGCGGAGTGTGTTCGAACGAGATTTTATTCTCGGAAGTGGTCGAATTTAAACGGGGCTGCTGAAAGTTTAATTGCACAGTTGCCGGGCCACTCGTAGTCGAAGATATATAAACACCAGCGGGGGGAATGGAACGATGAAACGCGGATTGATTTGTTTATTTACGCGAACGGTAACCCTTTGATACAGTAGGAAATAAACGTGGACTACGGAGAAACCGTGTATTAAAAAAAAGAGTATACGAAAGCACGAGGGTGGAGGAAAATTATAGTAAAAATAACGGAACTGGAGGATGGAGGATGAAATAATAGGAAGTGGTTCGAGTTTCAGAACTTAAAATATCTAATTTACGAAGGAATTATGGATTTCCTTGCGCCTCGTCGCGTGGGTGCCTGTTAATCGGGAACTGAAACACCAGAGGTTTTTTTTTACAATAACAACTATTTATTTATAGGTAATAATGCTGAATTACAATGAATACACTTTGTTGCCTCGATACTAGATTGTATAAGTCCGATCGCGAAATCGTAATCGCTCGTCGTCATCGTTTACCCAGCAGCGCGGCGATGCTGGTTTATTCTCCCCACTCGCCCCCTCCCGATCCTCGAGTTTCTTTCCCCTGTACGCAACCCGCCCCCGTTGACCCACCCCAAAAATTCAACGTGTTATTTTCCTTTATTTCGAGTCGCGTTCACGCGAATTAACCCGACTCGCCGGTCGGAGAATCGCCGGCAAACCGACTTTCCGTTTTCCTCGAGGAGATAAAGGTCCCAAACACCGGGATCACTGTCAGTTCTTTTTATAATATACATAGAATAACGATGATTAAATAAAAAAAGTTCGAGCATTCGACTAGTTTGGTGCAAAGGAATAATCATTGAGAAGCGTTCGTTTGCTGGTCAGAGAAGGAATTCTGTGTTCGTAAGTTGTTATTTTAAACGATATATGGAGAAAGTTAACGAACAAAAGAGAGAAAAGAGGAGAAAGGAAACAAGAATTTATAATATGGCAAGAAAAGGGCAAGTCGAAACCGCAGAGGCCAAGAAAGAGGAAAAGAAAGCTGCTGGAAGTTAAGAGACACAGCTAGAAATATTAATATCGTTTAAGCTTGTTAGTCGAAGATATGAAATGGCTGAGATACGTATTCTTTATTTAATTGTTTTATTCAATATAGCTTCATTTTGTGATTTACATTCATTTGCGTAGTTTAATTTCGTTATGCGATGTACCAAAGATTCAAACAGATAGACTTTTATTTTCGTGAAAATACCATTCAAAGAAGTTAGTTTTAGTCGAACATTGGAAGTCTGAACAAAATAATCTTCCCATCGTCGGTAATTGGGACCTTTATCTCGTGTCCGCGATCCTCCCTCGAATATATCTGGTACAAGTAGCTTTCAGAAGAAACTAGAACGTTTACGCGGCTTCCATTTTTCGTTAATTTCATATAAAATTCCAAACAATATGAAATTCATGACTTTTTACCTTACCGGTTCACGATTATCGGCGAAGCCTCGAAGCTCGTCTCGCGGTTTCCGTAATCCGTAATCCGTAATCCGGAACCCGGCGATTCGTCCGCCGCGAGATCGATCCCCGATCGATCGATTGGTTGGCGGCGATGGCAAATACAGATGAGCTATCGGTGGTTAAATTCTCGTTTCACTACGTGTAGCGTCGTCTTAACGGGCATTTTAGCCGGTACGCACGATCTAGACACTATGATTATGTGAACTTTACAACACAAGAACCTTACGGGCAAGAGACTTTGTACATGGATCTTAAATACGGGGATCGACGGATACGGCGAAACATTTCGTCGTTACGCGACTGGTTTCCGTAAACAATCCGTCCGCGACGACGCTTGGCGTCGCCGTTTGGAAACGTTTCGTCGCGTCGATCGCGACGCAAACGTGGGACACACGCGGTTATGCATTTAGCCTTACTTATCGACGGTAGTAACTAAGTTATTTATATAAATAAGGTGTTACGATTTAAAACGCACGGATCCTCTCGTTTCTCCGTTTCCTCACGCTTGTTGCCGTGCATCTTCGTCCCCAAACCCCCCCCCCATAAAAAAAAAGATTTGTCACCGCGCGACTCAAGCATTTTTCCTACCACTCTACGTCCTATCCTCCTTCGCCCTCGACTCGTCGGATCCATTTTATTCAACCGTTCTACGATCTATTCGCCGTCTCTTTCACGATCCCTCGCGAACTCACTCTCACTCTCTCACTCTCCCCTCATTCACTCGTCGTCTCTCGCTCTATATGATACAGAAAGATCGAGACGCGGGGCTACGTAGCGTTCCGCGTGGCGGGAAACGCCTCGAGGCCCGCGATCCTCGAGGATCGACGATCGGGTCGCCCGGTGTGTACCGCCCCGTACGGGTAAATAATATTAATAATAATGATAATAATACTCGAAAACTCGACGCGGCGCGTACCCGATCGTCCCGTACAGACTTAACACAATTACCTAATGAAATCGGTCGTTTAATTAGGAGATAGATACTTCTATGAACGCATGCACACGCGCACGCACTCCCAAGCAGTCTTTAGAAATATGTTGTCTCGGTTGCTCTCGTCGTCGTCCTTGATTCGCCCTCGCTGTCGCCTTCACCGGAGACGGGGGACGCCTCCTCCTGGGATACCGATTCTCGGATCGTTGATATGTGTTACCGCCGACTCGATCGACAGCGATCTCTCGGTTTTGCTCCGAGTCCCGGCGCCGAACGTCCTTTGCACTCGCGTCGAAACCGCGCGTCTCTCTCACGTGTTACGTTCGCGTTCAAGCACACTGGGGGAAAACTAACGATACTCGCGGCCAAAACCACCCGAAACGGCGCTCTTCGTTACGTCGAATCGGATAAAACAATACGAGAACGTCGATTCCACTCTTAAACGACGTTGTTAAAATTTTTTTCTTTGGAAGAATCTGAAAATGTTCTATAGATATGGAGACTCAATTCCTGGAAGTACGTAGAATAGTTTTGTACCTTTGATTTTTGGTCGATTTCAACCCCTTGACGCGCAACGACGAGTCTGACTCGTTACTAGTTCTGGATGCCAAGTGTCACGATCATAAGTCTTATATATTAAAATCAACATATTCCTTGTTCCTTTTAAACGAAATTAAATAGTACACGTTTGAAAAATTACATTAAATCGTACGTCAAGGGGTTAATTTGCGTGAAATATTTGCGAATTTCGTAAGAAAGTAGTTCTTAATTTCTAAACGGGGGGTGCAAAGTTCAGGGCGAAGCGACTGGAAGCAAAAGTATATAAAATTCTATCGTATTTTAATCGCAACGTCGTTGTCAACGACTCCGTGTCTTTCACCGAGATTTTCGAAAAATAAACGATCGATGAAACTCTGAAACAACAGCGAACGAATCGAATCACATCGACGAACAAACTCAATCTCTCGTTCCCTTTTCAACTATAATAAGTGGGAAACACACGTGAATATACAAAATGTTATTTACAATGGTAGACGGTAAAGTGTGCGATTCATCTACGAAATCCACCCTTCGCTGTTATTTACGCGTTAAGAACTTTGAAAAAATTAGTCGAGTCTACGGTTTGAAACGCCTCCTCTAAAAAATTGAAAAGGACTTCGGTGTTTCTGCGATCATAAATAAATAAATAGTATTCGAACGTTGGGTATTAAAGATTTCTTTCGTTTCTAAGCGGTGCAGTGGCTTTTGAGTGTTTCGTGCATAGGTTTCAAGGTTTTGGCCGCGAATCGTGCGAGATTCCCCGCGGGGACGTCGAACGGGATATGGACGTTCGTCCTTAGTCGCGCACACGTCCGTCGAAGAGTTCCGTTTGCGATTCATTTCGCTTTAATCGGTCGCGTTCGCTCGAAACCAGATCGAGTCTCTTTCTCCGTTCACCGCCACTTTTCGCGTAACGTCCTCCCTGCGTTTTCCTTTCGTCCTCTCACCACCCTCTCTCATTTTCGTTCCCTTCCTTTCTCTCTCTCTCTCTCTCGATCGACCCGTTACTCGTTTCGGCTGCTAGCTAGCCGCTCTGCCCCTCTTCTGGCATCGTCCAGCCTCTTCTAGGTCGCGCTCGTGAACAGAACGGAGTTCTTGTAGTAGCCCGTTCGGGATTCTGAAACAGAAGCGGGTCGAGGGTGCATTCTGCCGGCCGTTTCGACGCGACGCTCTCGCGGGATCCTCGTCCTGCCGATCGGAAACGCGATCTCGAGCGACGACGGTGATTCGGGGACGAGGAAGAACCGAGAAACGCCGAGCGAATGATTCGATGATCGCTCGGTTGGAAGCGGCGCCGCTCACTAATTATCCTTTGCCTGTTGAGACGTAGATCAACGCGAAAGGGACCCAGGCGAACGCATTCCGCGGACCGTGGCAGAAAGAGAGACCCGAGGATGGGGCCCCGTTCGTAAATACGAGACCGGTCGACTCATCGGCCCTTAGGGCCCCTTTGTGATCGAGCCGCCACTCGACTTTTTATCCAACTGTCGCTTATGATTGAAAATCACTGCGCGTTTTAATAGTCCACCGGATTCGATTTACTCCCTCCGACCCCGTTCCCCTCCCCCCCTCCCTCCGTCTATTGTTTTTTCTCGAGGAAAGGCTTGCCAAGTCCCTTTACTACCTTCTCGAATCGACCGTCGCCCGGAAAAATTGCATTTCTAAAATTTTGCACCGATTTCGAATATACCCCTGGGAAAAATGTTAACGGGTGCTTCGTTAAGGAGTTATTAACGTTTAAAGTACAGTCTGTGCGCGTGACAGTGGTTCTCACTCAGAAAACTGTAAGGCTGTCGATACGTCGGTACCCGAACTTTGAACGTTGATAACTTTGTAACGAAGCCTCGGTCAACAAATTGGTATTCTTGATTTTCGTCTTATTTTGGTCTACGAAATCTCCCTGTACTCGAATCCAAATTTACAAGCCACGCCAATGAAAGAGAAATGATCGTGGCGAGAATACGACGGAAAGGGGCTCCAGATTCGCGAGGGGTGGCTCGAAAAAGCGAGTAAAAGAAACGTGGCGGGAGAAAAAAGGAAACCCGAAAACGAACGCGATGAAGTTGACTTTACGAAGCCGCGGCCAATTAAGGGACCACTCGTTAAGGCCGCCTCTCGGTCGAGGACCCAGGCCGCGGGTAGAAAAACGATTATTTACGTGCAACGTCACGTCGGGCCCTCGCGGAACATTGAAATCGCGCGGTCGGCTACCGGCGGCCGCGCCGGTTTTTGCCTCCGGAACAACTTTCGACAAGTTTCCGCGGCGCGAGGCAAGTTTTGAAATCCGTGCGGCGTGTGCCGGTGACGCCGTTGCAAGAAACCACCCCTTCCGCGCCAACGAGACCGCCTCCCGAGACTTTCTAATTAAAGATCCCGAAGTTACCCGGGTTCCTTGTCGCAAGAAATTCCACCGCCGCCGTCGCTCGAATCCGGCGAACGGCACTCGACGCTCGGCGAATCGAAAATCGAATTATCCACGACGCTCTCGTTCCCCCCACGTCCGCTGTTCCTCGAGCCCGGGTACCGCGGGATTGGGTATCGTCGGTCTTACAGCTAGGCGTTCGCGGATGGATACGTCACCGTCGCCGTCGTTCATCGTCGGACGAATTTACCGAGAATAGCCTTGGTCGTTCAGTTGGACGCACCTTGAAGAGGAGACTTCACTTGGTCCCTCTCGGCCGCCTGGTGCTGCCGCGATTTTCTCTCCAGCTCGAGTTCCTGTACCAGTGACTCTGCGACAACAAACAGAAAACATTTCATTGGTCGTCGCTTGGACAAAACTACCCCCAGGATAATAAAAAGAGAACTCGTGTACAAAGAAATGTACGACGTAAAGTTGTCGCGTCTGAATTTTGGAGTTTCGTCGGTCAGTCCACCTTCGTTTTCGTGGTCTCGTGTATCGAACAATATTAGAAAGATTTATTAAGGAGGTTACCAGAAAAATTTGTGGTCTCGATCAAATTAAGGACCACATTTGAATCCCACAGAAAAATAGCTTACTCTTTGTCAACGGGGTACTTAATGGTCTGAACTCGTGTGTTCCTTACTTCATAACTATCTTCGATGCTCGTATCTCTTTCCAAACATCGAACAGTTAGTTCCTAGAACGTTTAGACGGTCGCTAAACGTTAAAAAAGCAGAGCGTAGGAGTAGAGAATTCGATGGAGCGAATGTTTGACGGGAGCATGGAAGATGGGTCACCGAAATGCCCGTCCCGGAAGAGGAAGAGGCGCTCCGGCGGTGTCGATCTCTCGACGGACGGGCGTCTTGGCGTCGATTTCGCCGAGGCGTTAACCCAAACGCGCGAAGGATGAAACGGAGCGGTAATTAGTGGAAAACCAGCCACCGCGAACTGCGAGAAAAGGGGGAAGGGAGAAGGGACGCAGACAGGGATAACGGACGTAGGCAGGCGTGAAAGGGCCGCAGGTTTGCTCACTGAATTCCGCAAGGATTAGGGTGAAAACTGGAAAATGTCCCTTTAATGATATCGCGCCGAATTAACCGCGGGCGAGCTCCTCGTTTCGGTCTACTTCGTTAAGCCCAGGAAAGGACGTCCCTTCGACCGGGTACACGACCGTCGCCTACGGTTCTCCTCGTCTCCGAGGTGAGAAAAAGATCCGTAAATTGTGTACCCTTCTCACCGTCAACCCCCTGCGATTATAGCAATACGGGCGATAGAATTTTTCGAGTCAGGATTACAACCTGGATCCCCCGAACAGAAACTGGACCAGAGTTCCGAGGACGAGGAACACTGTGCCAATTTCATCTCTGAACGCGAGCATAACCGAGGCGAGGGTTCAAAGAGTAGAGATAAAAAGGAGCTTTCGGTAACTGTAGTCTAAAAATAGGGTGTTAGAGCAGGGGTGGTCTCCACGAGGGTGAAACTAAATAGAAAATATCCCCCTAAGATTAAATGTCCTCGCAACTAGAACTGCATCCTTATCGTTCATACGCTTCACATTCTTTGTGATATTCCAACTATTCATATCTTTTTTTAAGCTTCACTCTTTGAACGTTCAGGTATTTTCCTCTTTGAGCAAACTGCCCAACCCTTTCGACATTTTTTTGAAATTGTATTCTATTGATTTGGGCTTGAAAAGAGTCACACTCGACGTAGGATTGCAAAGGGTTAAAATCGAACAGCCTCGAGCAAGAGACGCTTTCGATCGAGAGGATTAATCGCGACGTGAGTAGCGCGCGGGCGCGTGTATCGGCGCGAGGACGAGAGAAACATCGATGGTGGGGGTTGATTCGTAGGAGGAGGCGCGAATATATAATCGTCGAGCGTGAAATGGCGCCTCCTTGGGCAACGAGCAATGGTAAAATCCAATTGCGAGGCCATTAAATCCCAGTTAACTGGCACACGGCCGAGAGAAGAACGATTCCCCCGTTGGTCGGGCGCGAGCGTCGGGACTAGGAGACGTCGGGGCCGAGATTCCATTATGCTTTGAGCAACAATAGCTCGAAGGGCTGTTTCGCGGTGCGTGGGTGTGAATTCGTGCGTTCTCGTCAGGGCCGTTATATTCGACGGGGCGGGCGGCGTGTTTGCGTTTCGCTGAGCCAAATTACCTCTGGCGCCCTTATCCGCGCGCGGGGTGTTTCGTCCCTTTGATATCCAAATGACAATTTAACTGCTCAAGATATGCCCGATCCTCGATCAGAAAGTCCGCGAGACGTTCCCGGGCGAAAGAAACGCGGCGTTCGGTTCAGAGTTCGAGGATACATCGAAAGCGGAGGGGGTGGAGCTCGGCAAGTTCCCGCGGACGCACAGTAGGTGCCTTCGAGGATCGACTAATAGTTTCGCTACCGTGTTACACACCCTGACAAATCGCGCGAACAATGAAAACAATTTCAGCGGCTGCCCCCACCCTTTCACGGGGCCTAAACGGTTGGCATTGTGCCCTTGTCCCCCCACGGGGCCCCGGGGCTTTTTTCTCCGTTTGACTCCGTCGGTAGGCCCACGGACAGCCCTCTGAAAAGGAGAGCCTTCGAACTGTATCCGGTATGACTGCGCGTTTATCCGCACGTAATTAACTGGCGCACAATGCGTCGCAAGAAGGCCAACTCGCCTCGCCGGACGGAGACGAAGAAAAGGTATCGAGACGGAGGCGGGCAACGGGAGAGAAAAAATGAAACGAACGATACTTCTCGAAAAATCCACGTATTGTGCCCGCGACGTTGGCAACGTCATTGTTGCGCTACGCTTCGATCTACCCCCGGTTTTTTACACGGTCCTCGGAGACTCGAAATTCCACGCGCGATTCTCCGTTTCGGCTTACCCCGGGGCCTGGCCGAACGAAATTAGAACGCGTTCCTGCGAAGATCGACGCTTTCGATCCGTTGACGGCGAATAAACGCGGATGTTTGCGCGTTCGAGGATCGCACGGTGGAGTGTGAATGACAAGTGTTTAGCACCCAGCGGATTTGTTTGAATCTTTAGGCCAGAGAATATTCATAGAATATTCAACATTTCGCAAGAGGTCCAGATACAGTATTTCCACTTTCTGGACCCACGAATATTCCTGGAATATTAAAAATTTCGGTTGCAAGAGGTCTACTGTTTTAGAGAGAGATCTTTAGTTTCTGGACCCAAAGCGAGAAAGTATAGTACTTATCCACGAGTTTAAATATACGTGAAAAGTAGCACTACTTTTATTACACGCATATTATTGTCCTTTGTTTGCTTAAACCATCAGGAACGCCCAAAATCTCTGCAAGAGGATTCCCTTCGGCGTTGTCTCTCGATGCACTTGCTGCACTCGTGGTAAATTAATATCACGGGAGATAGTTTGGGCGTGTTATCTCAGGTCGAGAGCCGTTTGACAAGGTTCATACATTTGCAAGTAAGAAAGGGTGCCAGGGTGTACTACGAATGCGTATCATTTTGCTCCAGACTGCGCCGTGCCCCTATTATGCTCGTTAATCGTGCCCTAAAAAAAAGTCTTACCAAATTTTGTATTTCTCTATAAACGATCAAATTTATATTTTGAAGAAAGCTTGCAATAATCATGTTATTAAATTTGCTAAAAGTTCGTATTCTAAATTGATCCATTTACCATCGATTTATACAGTACGAAGAATAGAAATTAAGAGACAGCGATTAGAACAGCTGGGTATCGAGGATCGATGTTCGTTGAAAAATTTGTTGCCCGTAAATGCATAACCGGTCGACGGGCGAAAGTCGCATTAAATTATCACAAATTAATCCTAACACGGCTCCCCCTTCCAACGTAACCGAAGTAATTTCGCGTTCGAGGCAATTTTTCTCGGCGAGCCTCGCAACAAATTGGACGAATTAATGTTACGCGTTGTCCGGGTATCCGGGAAGAGGAAAACCAGAACGAGTTACAACGTAACGATATAATATATTTTGGCAACAGTTTCTCGCGAGACGCTGAATTACAACAAAGTATAGAGGCTGCCGGTAATCGACGCTAAGTGCCGAGTACCGACTCGTAACAACTCCGCAGCATGGAAGTCTCCGGACCCCAAAGAACCGTCCACATAGTTTTCCCAGGGATACACGCAACGTGTTACGCAATACCATAAAAATAATGGCAGAAGTCGTAGCTTTGCTTTGTGAAATCAGTTTTACTTCACGTTGGAATTCTGGGAGTCGTAGATAGATATATTATCAATTTTAATTCTCGAATAGCTGCAGAATGTACTGAAATTATTATATTTAGGGGTTGAGACAACCTTCTACGAAGCTTCATTATTTTTTAAAATATGTATCTGCGTATGGATCCACAGTGTAGTTATATGGGTTCTACAGCACTTTCCATTCGAGTAGTCTTGGTATAATTTGTCAAAATCTAATGGTCTAATGGAGGTGGTGACGTGTGACCCATGACCTCAGTAACATTTAGTTCGCATATGCAAACATTATTGCAAATAGAGAAGAGTCGTGCAATCAGAAGGGTGTATCCGTTTCTTTGTACCATATTTTATGTTAGAATATATTTGCAAGTCGTAGTTGTCATGATCTTTTCATCGTTTTCGCAAAAATAAAAAATCGAAATTGCAGAATGTTGTTTCTGCGGTGGAGAACGGTGTAAACAAAGAGTAAAACGTTGGTTTCTGTCGGAAACGTTACGGAAGAAGAAGGTGTAGCGCGTGGAGGGTACGAGGAGGCAAAAAATTGGAAGTGGATCGGTAGATTTGCTCGCGAGTTACGGGCGATAACGCGAGGGGAACCTATCATTTGATCGCATGCTGTATGCACAAAGTTTCGAGGAGGCCCCCCGAAGCACCGGTGGAAAAGAACGACACTTTACGTGCGCCGGTCAATAATAACGAGTAATTTCCGACGGGGCGAGGCTTTCGTGACCCCGGCGCCGAGCGAAAAACAAACGTCGCGGCTAGGTTCGACGATCTTCTCGCGCGAGCATCGAAGAAACCGATCCACCGGGCATCGTATATCCCGGCGGCGGTAATTGGTCGAACGCTCTCGCTCTCGAGCGGATCGAGCGGAGGGTTAGCGAAGTCGTGGAGAAAAAGAGAGTGTCTGGAGGAGGGAAGGGTCCTGGAGGAGCGTAAAAGAACGGACGTAGGACGTAGACCGGGCGACCGGGAGGCGGCCAAGGGGGTTGATTTCGTGTAGCGCCGCGTTTTTAATGCTCTGATCTTTATGTAAAACAGAACACGGCACGGCGAGAGAGCGAGGGCGTTGAAGAACCGGAGACAGGGGAAGCAGGGACGTAGGCGCTCGAGCGCCAAGCCGACCGTGAAATTGTATGAATCAAGGAGGTGCACGGAGGTGGAGAGCGACGCGGAGACACAAAAACCGGCGCGGATACGAGAGCGGAACAAAAACCGGAGACGCGAGGACGCGGAGGTAAGTACGGAGTCGCGTTCGCCTCCGCCTCGGTTTCCAAATCGAGAAACACGCGACTGAAACGAATTTAATCTGCTCGCGATTCATCCCATCTCACCCTCTGCGCTCGACGACGCTCCGGGCGATATAGAAATCGCAAGTCGAGCGTCGGTCGTTGGATCGCGACGACAAAGCCCGCCTTTTACGTATTACACGCTCCAGGAACGCCGGAGATAATTCGCCGACCGGCAAACGGACTACCCCGCCTCCACCCGCGCGACAACATTCCGGAAAGAACAGCCCTTGAAATCGCCCAGGTTTTCCAAAATAGGAATTACGAGGCTCCAGGTTGTTGTTTTCAAACTGAAACAATTGATTCCCGAGTCGAAACGTTGGGGGAAATTCTGAATAATAACCACCCTCTTGGAGTATCGGGCTTCCTGTGTCACTTGTACACGCTCGTCACGGTTTATCACTCTCGCGTGGGTTATTGTCTTTCGTCTAATGGTTCACCGATAACGAGAAACCGCGAGGATACATTTGATCGCTTTTCTCCCCCGCGAGATTAGGTCTCCCTCCCTCTTTTAGGCGGCGCCTTTAGATATCCCGTCGCGATACGCCGACGAATTTGCAACGTACAACCGGTAGCCAGCGTACATTGTACTATTCCCCGGTTCGTTCCGGTTTTACGGTCGAGAGTTTCTCGAGCATAATAGATTCGACGCGCGAACTCGTGCACGCACATTCTGCAGCCGACCGGGAGAAGAGGAGCACGGGGACGGCACGCTTCTAACCGGAGCGTTTAACCGGGATTCCGGCCGCGAGGGCACCGCCGAGGATCGCGGAAGATTTCCAAGGCCACGGAATCGCCCAAAACCGGTTAATGGCCAGGAAGGAAAGTTATATAAACTTCTAGCTTAACTAGGAGCAAACGCAGTTAACGCGGGGGGGTGGATATCGTTACAGATCCGAGACTCGATGCTTCGGTCTTTGAAAATTTTATTTGTTTTGCTCGACACCTCAGGAATGCTATTAACAGCAATTAATTTCTGTTTACTCTTGATATTTTACGACTTTCAAACAAATGAGATATCGTAACAATTTCCTGAGATACTTTTGGGCCTAGCACTAACATACGTGCATTACTCGAAAGTCAATACTTTATATAAATTGTAACTATGCATTCACTCATAATTAACCCAAGATTCCTATCAAAGGAAATTAACAATTTAGAGAAACTCAACCGGAGGTAATAAGTAAATAATTCAAACGTCCATTCGGGTATCGCGGAAATAGAGACGCTTGGCGTCCCGACGGAAGGCTCCGGCAGCGGAGTGGCGTTTCTTCGGGCAGCAAGGGAGGAAACGAACGACAGAGGAAGGCGCGGAGGAATAAGAAGACCGAGGCGGCGTTGTACTCTCTGTCGCGAGAAAGCAGTCGAGGGAGGGTCCGGGGGGGAGGGACGGGGGGGGTTATGGTTGCTGCGAAATTATTGCATATAGTCTGAATATTAAAGCGTGGCGGAGTGCTTCGTCGTACTCGTCGGGCGGTGGATGCTGGTTGATGGACGCGAAGGAATCGTCGTGTGCGCTTGTGCGCGCGTAAGTACACGCGCGTACGAGAGAAACGGGCCGCGGGGCAAAGACAAAGCTGGAGAGCGAGCGAGAGAGAGAAGGCGAAGGTTTAAGGGAAACGGGGGGGGAGGGAGGGGACAGGTAACGCCACCGAGAGCCGCGGTGGCCGCCGGGGAAATTACGGCTTCTTCCTTACTTGCCAGAGATGTGCATAAACTCTGCATTACGCGCAGCGGTGCTCAAACACGAAAGGCCATCCATCCGTGCCCCAGTCTCCTTTCGATTCTCGCCCGAAACTCGTATTTTAACCTCCTACGATCTACTCGAACCTGCAATCTTCCGTTTGCCGTAGGATCCACAGAGCAATTTAGGGACTTGAACCACTCTTGGGTTCCCTTCGCCTAATTACGATATCCTAGCGACCGATGCTCGTTACGAAACGCGGGTTTTTCGAGGCTAGTCAGGGGGTGGTAAGTTAGAAGCTGAGGACCGACTCGATAAAGATTCAGTGTCTCTGGGAGTTTGTCGCGATCGGAGGAGAATGAGAGGCGCTGTTCGTATAGAATGCATGACTCGAAGACACGACGGCCCCGAAGTCCCCTCAGTGGCGTAAGTACCCACCTCAGACGACGACGTTTCGTCGACCTATACTCCGTCGTCTCGGTCGCTTCGGCGCCACCGTCGACGCCCCCGTGCCCCGCCGCCCCATCTAAATCTCCGTTGTTTATTGCAAATGGATTCCGCATCATGATGCCCGGGTGGCTGCGGGACCCTATTCAAATACCTCGTGTTTCCTCGTCAGAACCGACTGCCCTCCCTCCCTTCGCGCGTTCGCCTACCCTCTCCGGTACACGGGGTTGTTATTGCCCCCGGCGTGATTGCTCCCCGTCTCTCTCTCTCTCGCGCTCGAGATCTTTCGAATAATTTACTTTGCACGATACCGACGCGACGCTCACCTCTTTGCCCACCGTCTCTCTCTTCCGCCCTTGTTTCTCTTGGTACTCGCGCGCCCCCGCGGCCTCCGGTGCTCCCGGATCCTCCGCTTTTTTGTTTGGGTAATCGAGGATCGAAGTCACTCGGCCGGAAGATCAGAAAAATTGAGTGGATCCTAATACGGGAACGCGATTATCCGAATTAGCGGCTTGCCACGGGTCCTCGCCCTCTTTTCATCGCGGTCGCGGCCGCTGCCTCCCTCGTCCCGCCTCTTCCCTCCCCCGTATCCTCGACGAAGGGTGCCCGCGGGCCTCCTTTTCTTAAATTCCACCCGATACATACCCATTGTTACCCTCGCGGCTTATTTCCCGCTTCGTTCTCCTCCCGAGCTCGAGGAAACGAAACTTTCCACCCCCTCGAGCTTCCCGCGTCTCCGTGGTTGTTCACCTTTCTCCCACCCCTGTATCCTAACGCGATATCTACTTCCTTTTGTACTCGTTCCGTAACGAAGACATTACCGTAGGCGGTACTATACGGAGAACCTGGAAGTTCGGATTCGTACGACTTTCTCAAAATTCCACGTCTCCTTTTTGCGGGGCCCGACTTTTTAAGAATTTCGCGAGGTCGTAAATTCTGCTACGCGATATTTCTTACTTATGTCTTATTTAATTCAGCGATTGTGCATCCCGTTTAACTTGCACGTAGTAGCTTGGGATTGTGGAGTCAGACGTACTTAGCATACGGCTGTCAAAAATCCCAATTACTACTTAAAAGCAACGATTCCCGGGGCTCTGAATACCTATCAATTTTGATTTTAACCCTTTGCACTCGGCTGTGAATCGTCGTAGGTGGAATTAACGACCCTTCGAAATTCTTGCGAAAGAGCGTCGCGGAGCACTGACCTTGGTAGTTTTGCCAGAAGGCGGAGGCTTGGCTGCCGATCAGGTCCAAACCGTATCCCCATGCAGGTTTCTCGGGCGTGGAAGGTTGCTGGGAAGGACGCGGGACCTGGGCTTCTCTGTACTGTTGGGCCTGCTGTTGTTGTTGCAGGGGTTGCTGGGACGACTGCTGCTGCGAGGGTTGCTGCTGCGACTGCGAGTGCACCGGACTGGCCTCAGGTGGCTCTGAACTCGTGCGTGCTTCCACCGTCACGTTTTCTGCGAAAATCAACCCATCGTCAATTCCTTACCCGCTGCATCCAAAATAGAAACTCTAGAGTTAATCTAACCCCTTGACTCGTTTACGAGGGGTTAAATTTCGTATATCTAGAACGCGATAGAATCTGTAGGATGTCATTTTTGTGCAGCGTGGCTCGTGGCAGCAGGTAGCTACCCCTCGGAGGAACGGATTCGCGGTGCTCCGTTTCATTCGAAATTAGTATCGCTACATTCTCTGGTTCTGACAGGGTTAATCAACGGGACCGGGGAGCGCAGGAGCGGGATCGCGGGGACTCCGTATATCGGAATAAGAGATTTCACTTAAAGGGTTTCAAGCAGCCGCTCGAGTTTTGCTAGTGACAGGATGAGGGGTGGCGTCGGTTGGCGCAAGATCGCGGCATTTCGACGTTAGCCCCGGGAGGGCCGTGGAGACGCAACGGGAGCCGCGACGATGATTCCCGTCCGCGGGGGCAGGGGAGGAAGGATCTCCCCGCCGGCGGGGGATAAGTAAGGAATCGTATTCCGGCGGGTGTCAGGCTGTTTGCTCTGCCTCGGCGAATTAATTAATTTATTCCGAGATCACCGGTAGCCCCGGAGGCTCACGGTGCAAAGATCGGCTCGGTAAACGGCGAGAGAAACTCCGAAACGCGTATCCGCGCCGAGCCGGTGTTAATCCCCGAGCGAGCACGCGCGACGCCGGCTCGAAAACGCGCTCTCACGCTTACCGGTGATCGCTCTGACTTGCTCCGAGGATGCCCCCGTCGCCTTCAACGCCTCCTCCAGCTGCGCGCGCTTCTTCATCTCCAGGTCCAGTTGCTCCTGCAGACGCTTCCTCACCCTCCGTTCCTTCTTTAACCGCTTCTGGTATATCACTGCAACCGCAAACATACAAAATGATTAGAACAAACTCGAGAATATCAATATTTCAAACATTTAAACGACAACCAAGACAATTGACCGGTCAAGTGTGATACAGTTCATTCGTTCAGTCATTTCTAACTACCCCGGTATGCGTTAGTTCGTCGATCAGGAACATTGAGGAAACAGTAGAGCTGATCGTAACAACGCTACTTTCGATCTCGCGCGATAGATATATAAAACATCGTTGAATAGATAGATAAGGAGCAGAGATATCCCGTTGGGAAACTTAACAGGTGTAAAACGGCCAGGATGGAGTAGACGCGAGGCGATAAAGACGTCAGGGGATCGTCGATAGCGTAAACGGGGCCCGTTGGGTGGACGGATAGAGGCTCGGACGATCGGTTTCGCTGGGTTAGGTCTGGGTGTCGCGCGTTCCTTCGAGTCCGTCCCGACGGACACCTGTCAAAACGACTTAGCAGGACGGTCAGTGTTCCGCGTTCCCCCGCAGGTGGCGGAACCCCGGCGCGGTCAAAGTCCAACGAAATTATCTTGGCGTATCATTCTACCGCGGGGGGTTTCACGGCGAGCGCAGGGGGCCTCGGACCTCGAGCACGCGTCCAGGCGGGGGTCTGATCGTCTCGTCGGCTACCGTGCGCGCCTGTCGACGGCGCTTACCGAGGATCGACGTCGATCAATCGCCCGGTCATAGTTATCGATCGATCTACGAATCGGCCGCCTCGGATAAACCGGTTCCCCTTACGCGGTCCCAGTATAATTTGCAAACCTCGGGAATTTTGGCCTTCGAACTGCTCCTCGCAGATGTTGATTACTTCATTTTGTCCCGCAGCTCTGCTTAGGCGTCTCAGAGTCTCAAGGTTCGGTTACCATTCGAGTCTCCGAGGATAGAGAGTTATTCCATGGAGACTCGATATGAGAATACTGAGACAACTCTAGCGACCTAACGTGGGAGTGTTGTTCCGTTCAAAGACGTGTACTAAGGGGTTTACACTCAGAATTCCTAGGAAAGATACTGCTCGAGCAACACCATCTTCTCCCCCAATTACAAATTGATCCGCGTTGTCTTTCATTATGTAACTCTGAACGTAACAGACTGATAATCACGTTCCTCGTATCATCTCCAGTCCGTTGACTCGCGTTTCAGAATAAACCTCGCAGGAAGGCGTTCGCCATGGTCAGACGCGTATCCAGGATCGGTTCGAATCGTCGGCGCGTTTGAGCCGTTCCCCTCCCCAGTTTAATTATTTTCCATCATTGTGAATCGGCGCGTCCGGCCATTGTGTCCCGGCGCTTTTGACTCGATCTCGCTGAAACGCTGGGCTTTGTTGTCGACGCCTTCGTCGACGAGATCCTCGTTGCAATCGAGATCGACGACGTTGCCGGTTGTACGGTGGGACCAGGGTACCGCGGAGGTCGCGGTTCCCCAACGTTCCCCGGAACGGACGCTGGCTGAGCGTCACTGATACGTGATTGATTCCCAGTAGACGAGGCGCAGACAACCCCTTTTCCCTCTCTACGGCGACGCGGTACCCCTTCTTCGTTTACCTGGCGACCCCGGTGCACCTTTGTCCTTCTCTTTCGGCGTTGTTGGTCTCGACTTTCGAGAAGCGCGGTTTCCAGAGACGCTGGTCGTTCCGTTTCTGTCCTTCCAAGTCGCCGTCCAGGTGCTGTCTCACCGTCGAATAGGTGTGCAGCGACAGGAGGGTGAGGAGAAAGCGCGCGAGGGTGCGGAGGAGGGCGCGGGGGGATCGAGGGAGGGCGGCAGAGAGAGGGCGAGGAGGAACTCGAAGCAAAGCGAGGTGGGGTGAGAGAAGGTGGGAAGGGGGACGACAGAGTTCTCTCCGGTGGTAGGAGCGGGCGGTGGGGTACCAGGGGGAAGCGGGGGGGCGCAGCATTATGATGCAAAGATGGCGCGGCTGCGGCACCCTAGAATTAGCTCGAGCACTCGCCATTGGCCGCTCGGCAAACCACTCCTTCGGTAACAACCGACTGCATACGTTGCATACTAAGGATACACGCGAGCCGGCCAAAGAATTGCCCCGAACCGGCCCGACGAGACCCCGATTTCCACCTACGATTCCGATCGGACCCTGTTTATCCGTTCCTAGCTTTTCCCCCCTTTTCGATCGCCTGGTCCTCGACGAACTCCGCGCGTTTCCCTCCTTGGGCATCGTCTATCGAATCGAACCCCGATGGATGATCCGCCGTCGATCGTGGAACACGCTATCGATGCGCGACACCGATTCTTCTTGGACAATTGTTCCTCGGTCGCGAACGCGGACTGTCTCCTTCTCGATGCTCGTCGCGAGTTTGTTCCGCCTCGCCTCGAACGCAACAGCCGTGTAACTACTCGGGACAGAGTCCAGATTCGTTTCTTTCTTTGGATATTTTAGTACTCGATGTACTCGAACGGTGTCGAATTCACGATTCCCAGCTAATTTTCTATCGGAACCAATATGGCCGGCTGGTCGTTCTTTCCCGCCTTGTGCGTGTTTGATGAAAGAAACGTGGAAATGAAATGTATAAACAACGATTTCTTTAAACGGTGTCTATTTTACAAAGATCGATCGTCAACTCCCTTTCGTTACAGCAACGTTCGTGTAATATGTTTTCGCCTACAATTGCATAGGAGTTTTAATAATTTGCTCAGACTAGATCGACAGGAAAATATCCACTAAAGATTAAAATTATTAGCCAGTATTCCACTAATGAGACCGGTATGTTAAAACTCAAAGGTACATAATGACGGTTCGAACAAAGGAAAAGCCCTTGCATACCAATTTTAAGCGCGTTAATTTTTGGCCCGTAAACGCGATCTCGAACAAACGTACGGTGACTGATTTTATATAGACTGACTTTGCGAATAAGTCAGGAGCGGGAGTCTCGGAAATTGCAACCTCGTCGCCGTATTTCACAGAAAATGGAACGTTACGGTGGCGTAATTTGTTTCCGACGAAATTCCAGAACGCTTCGCAGCTCGATTCGAGTAGTTACGAGTCCGGATCGAAGATGAGAGAAGCGAACATAGTCGCCAGGGAGGATCGTGTAAAGTTTTTTAATTCCAAAGTAAACTGTATAGCCGCTGTTTCGGTACGAGTAAGTCTACAAGCGGAGAAAAAGTTATTGCCAGAGAAAGTTCCGATCTATACAATTTAGAAAGTTACAAATCAGGGCATAATCTCACAGTTTTGCAGTCGTGAGTGCTACTAGTAAAAGAATTACCGATTCCGTTGCATTGTCGCGGCTTGTCGAAGTCGAGAAGTCGGGTTAAATATTCAGAAGCCGTGATTTCGTTATTGGAAATGTTTCTGAGGTTGGTCGTATTAATCACATTCGACCAGTCGATGTACCAGTTTACATCCAAAACATCGTCGCCAAAAGGTGGAAGTTTACTGCGGGTATGTTTAGTTATAGAAGCGCCGATATTGCAATAGTGATCGGGGTAGAAGCATCCGGAATTGGGTGGAAAGTTCATCGTTTCGATACTAAAATTATGTAGTTTCTAACAGAACGGACGCAAGTTCTAGATATCTATTACAGTAAGACGGCCACTGGGAGCTTCGATTTTAATTTGCTCGATCTACTGTGTAAACTTCACATAGTTGTCCAAGTAGAATGTTCTCCAACGGATTAACCCCTTGCCGTACAATAACGACTTTAATTCGTCGCAAGTTCTTTATGTCAAGTTTCACAATCATGAGGCTACTGCTCATCAAGTCTTACGTACATTAAGATCAATATATTTAGACATTCACGAGCTATTCTTTTTCGTGGGTATTCCTTGTACCAACCTACGATCTTTGCACACAATTTTAGTTCCGACACCAATTGCAACGTCCACGAGCGCACAATTTCGCGTTTTCTAGATTAAGATAAACTTCGTAGCGAGGGGGGCTCGTAGGAGGGGGGCTAGCGAGGGCCCACGGAGTTGGTCGAGGCTCTGCGAAACCCGGAGCCTTGGGTCGCCATCGTGCAAAAGAAATCCGCGACAGGTAGGGGGTGGCTCGCGGAGAAGGAGGGAATGCTCCATTAGATAATGCGCTCGATGGAGAAAAAGGGGGGAAACGGGGGGAGGGGTACAGCGGTCTCTCTCGTCGGACACGTCAAAATACATCAGCTACCGCTGTGCGTTCGGTTAGAAATCCTTCTGGTCGCTGTCCGCGCGGACTCCCCACGTCGAAGGCACCGCGGACTCTGGACGCCGTCCGCCTACGTTTAACGCTCGCCCGTGAGAGGAGGGTCGAGGACGCGATACGCTTCGATCCCGCGGCACGATATCGATCTACGAGGGCCGGTGTGTCGCGCACGGGGATCTCGAATCGAAGGGAACCGATTTCGTTCACGGTTTTCGGGGCTCCCGGGGGCCGTTTCGAAGTCGTCGCCCATCCCGGGGAATTAGCGGCCGGCCGCGTAAACAATCAGGGGAAACGCGACGGGCAAATCCAATAGGGAAACCCGCAGAAACTAATATACGGTCGTCTTACCCGGGTACGCGTTTAATACGCGCTCGTGGCGCAGAGATCGAAAGAGAGAGAGAGAGAGAGAGAACACCCTCCGGGAATACCAATATGATTTACATTTTGAGGTTATATTGACCATTCCCGGCACCTGCAGCAACCCGCTGCTTCCTAGCCCGCGGCCGATACCGTGGATGACCGGGATCTGCTTAGGAAAAATTAATAATACCTTCGGATTCTCGATCCCCCGCGAAGACCATCGTCGGCCTCCGTGTTTTTACGCATTTATTTAGCACGTTCGACGCTCCGAATAGGGCGCAAGGATCTACCATTTGCTTCTAAAGCGCCTGAACAGCTTTTGTACAAACAGCAATAGGGATAAGATTTATTTTTAATCTCGATATTCTTTTATCTACTTGGGAATTGTTAATGAAACGTATGGAAGCGCGATTTGTGATAGAAATTATTTTTATAGTCACAAACGTGGCGTCAGGTGTTAACAAGTTACCTGTTGAAATTTGGCTCGCTACAGAGCA